GAAATATTTTTTTTTTTAAACCTTTCGTAACACGACTTATTTTGACCTTACAGGCCAACGATTGCGACCTGAGCAACAAGCAGGTGGCCAACATTAACGACGTGTGCGATTCGATGAAGCAGCAGTTGCTGTTCCTCGTAGAGTGGGCCAAGTTCATCCCGGCCTTCACCGAGCTGTCGCTGGACGACCAGGTAAGCACTTTTTTTCTCTCGATAGTTAGTTTTGCCTGTAGCTGCTTCTAAACTCCACCACGAGACAGACTGGGGTTTGCAAATGCTGTTCCGCGCGCGCGCTCGTGCGTGCGTGTGTGTGTGTGTGTGGTGTGTGTGTAAATTCAACTCTGTTCAGTGTTTGGCAACATTTTTGGATGCCATACAATAATAACAAAGAGGTTTCTTTCCTCATTCGAAATGGTGTCTTCGCGGTGGGTGGCGCTCGCTGTGGACGTTTCTTTGTCTTATTGTATCACGCGCATGCGTGCGGGCGGGCTCGCCGCTACATTGCTGTTTGGCTCCCGTGGAGCCCCGTAGGGGTAGGCAACCCACCCGCATGCCTGCATTGCGGTACGGTATAACTACCACGTAAAAGTGGGCCTCGTGAACCGGCCCACCCACCCGATATTTTTTGACAGAAGTAACTATTTATGCCCGAAATTTTCGCCATGTAACAAAATTTGTTGCTCACTCGATCTCGATGTAAATATTAATACGCCGTTGTTGGCGTCCTCCAGGTGGCACTGCTGCGCGCGCACGCGGGAGAGCACCTGCTGCTGGGGCTGGCGCGCCGCTCGCTGCACCTCAACGACGTCCTGCTGCTCGGCAACAACTGCATCGTGCCGCGCTACTCGGCCGACTCGTCCGTGCCGCCGGACCTCGACATCTCCCGGGTGGGCACCCGGGTCATGGACGAGCTGGTGCGGCCGCTCCGGGAGGTGCAGATCGACGACTCGGAGTTCGCCTGCCTCAAGGCCATCGTCTTCTTCGACCCCAGTAAGTAGAGCTGACACATCTGAGAATGGGCCGGAGAGATTATTGGTGGAGGATTCATTTCTGAAACTAAAAGAAGTGTAAAGGTGGACTCGAGAGACGGGTTGAGAGTTGAGAGACAGGGGGCAACCAGTTTCACGACCAACCACTTGTTGCTGCAGATGCCGCCGGCCTGAACGAGCCCCAGCGGGTCAAGTCGCTGCGCTACCAGGTCCAGATGAACCTGGAGGACTACATCAGTGATCGGCAGTACGACCCCCGGGGCCGCTTCGGCGAACTCCTCCTCACCTTGCCCGCGCTGCAGAGCATCACCTGGCAGATGATCGAGCAGATCCAGTTCGCCAAGCTGTTCGGCGTCGCCAAGATTGACTCCCTGCTGCAGGAGATGTTGCTGGGAGGTGAGTACCTTTTGTGCTGATTCAGTTGTGGTGTTAAGTTTTTAAATATGATTCACCCTCGTTTTGCGGGCTATATTTTGGAGTTTTGGACGGGGCTAAGTAGGGGGCTACTTCATGGGATGCTTATGCTGATGCTGGTTTCACTTGCGAAATATATGGGATCAAAAAGAATTTATGAATAAATCGTATGGTTTTTATTTTTAAATAGTCAACAAAACAAGCAATGTAATTAATCGCCTAAAAGATTTCACATTTAATTTGAATTTTTTCTTGCATTTACCCTTCTATACATTCAATTTTGCATTTCCTTTTTTTGCTCTTAATGGGTTTTCTCTCTATCGTGTGCTGGTGGGTTTTTCCCCGCTCTCCGTTGTGTGGCTTACGGCTTTCTTCTCTTCTCTTTTGGGTTCTCTCGCAGGGCTCTCCACTTTTGTGCTTTCAAGCTGAGCTTCTCTAACCCCTGCTCTTGACAGTGGCTGTCTACGTTGTCGCAGGCGCCTCCGCGGAGAACATGGCCAGCACGTCGGGGGCGGCCGCGGCCCAGGCTGCCGCTGCGCAGGCTGCCACGGCCTCGGTGGCCTCGGTGGCCTCGACGCACGCCTCGGCCTCGACCAACGGCTCTCCGGCCTCTGCCCACGGGTCCGCCGGCCACCACCACTACCCCAGCTCCAGCTCACCGTGCCCCGGCAGCCCGTCCAGCCCCGGCCTCAGCCCGGCGGCCGCGGCCTCCTCCAACGGCCACCGCTCCAACGGTTCGCCTTCCGGGCTCCACCACGAGCTGCCTGGCCACGGCCACCACATGGAGGCTGACTCGTACCGCATCGCCTTCAAGCAGGAACCCGAGACCAGCTTCTGATCGCGTTCGCACCACAATGCGCGCACAAAGATCCAGGCGAGAAATGATATGGCCCAAACCCCGTGGTTGCTGCATCAAATCGATGTGTATTCCAGCAGTTGTAAACCGAATCGATGTCCTCTCGCCCCGTCATTTTTAACTGGTTCAAAAAACTTGTTATTTTCTGTAATCTAGTGCGTCTTGTCCTGCGAGTCTATTTTTATGTTTTTAATCGAATGGTTAGAAGGAAAGAACTTTTGCCTCCTGGATTTTTTTAAATGGATAGAGGAATGGCATACTTTCAACTGGACCTCTTTCAAAATGATCAACGAGCGTTCCAAATTAACTGCACAGTCTGTTTACAATTCAATGTATTTTTTTGCAAATTATTTTAATAATGGACAATTGAAATGATTTTTGGCAGCATTGTGTTCATGTTGTTAAAAATAATATTTGTCGATAAATCAGCAATGTCTTTTTAAATATTTATAAAATGTTGCTTTTTATGGTTTTTATGTCCTATGCTGAGCCGGTCTCATTATATTTTTGTTTGTAAATAAACCACATTTGTGGTTGTTCAGTCAAAGCTGTGCATGATGTAAATGTATGCATCCCCGACAAAGCAATCTTCCTAACAAGTATTACCTTGTCCCTTTTACTTGGGCTCAGAACGATAATGATGTAAGTGTGCCAAAAAGACTCCTTGGTGATGTGAGTATGAAATCGCTCTCTTGATGAGTCAAATGCATTTATTTGCTGGGGTCTTATTGACTTGCATAGTGCAGCCAATATTTCTTAATATTTGCTCAAAATATTTCTCTGTGCAGGGTATATTTCTTGCTCAACTACTATTACTAATGCAAGTGTCAGTAAAAATGTGTACACTATTATTATGGTGAGGGCTCATTGCATGGAGATGAATTACATTCATATGTGCATCAGGAAGAGCAATGATGCAGCTCCTCTATAAAATAGAGATGCATTTAAGAAGGCCTTTCAAAGAAAGTGTTACAGGGTATTTCTGATACATTCCAAAGAAGCATTGCCATACGTTATTGTTTTTCTTTATTGTCTCAAACAAATTAAGATTATATCAATCTTTGATTTTTGCTCATTGTACTTTAAGTCCCATTTTTGTTGGATGTTTTTATTCCGAGTGTCATTGTATGCTACGTTTGTGTTGTTAGTGTCTAAGTCTTATGTAATTACGCGTCAGCAATTGGCGTATCAAAGTATCCAAGTAAATAAACTAGGTGTGTTTATAAAACGACAGCGCCATTATTTATCGCAACGGGCAACACGGGCCACAACAAAACCGGCAACTCTAAAACAAGCACGCGACGAGAGTTTGGACGTCATCCCTCCCCAAAAGTGACTCACATCATCGCCGCACTAGAGCAGAGTTCCGTTGAAAAGCGGGGAAGGGCCATTGGGTCCGTCCGGACTTCGGACCGCGACTCAGCACCGCTGCACCAGGCTCCCCCCTTCTTCCCGCGCCAGCTGCCGGCCCGCCGGGCCTAAAGCCGGGCCTCGCGATATCTCTGCAAATCACTCACGCGCGCGCGACCAACGTATCGGGTGGGCCTGGCCTGCACTGGAAGCCGAACCGGGCGAGAACGCCTTCAGCACTCGGGGGTAGGCAACACAACCGACAGCGAAGTCCGGCGGGCGTTGTCCGTTGTCCCGCCCGCCCGCACACGGCCGGGCTTGCTTATTTTTGCTTGTTTATCTACATGTATATTCACAGCATATGGCACTCAGATAGTTTTTGTTCATTTTACTCGATATAGATTAAAGAAGATTATCGTTTGTAGAAGTGAAGATAGGGCTCGTTATCGAGTCGCGTTCATTTGTAAATACGAGGTGAAGGCCTCACGGTGTAAATGGATTAACGCGTCTTACGCACGCCCTCATTGCCTCATTGTTTCTCTGGATACATTCTTCCGCCCCACGCAGCTCGCGGAGCGCTGCTCGTGGTCCCCTATGCCACAGGTGGTGGGGCGCAAGTTGTAAAATTACAATTTGTAATCGTAAAAATACATGCAGTTTGCATCGACTTCAAATCCCTTGGCTAGTAAAAAATGTGCTGTCGTAAATTTACAACTTGAATTAAAATTCGAGTTTACAATTTTAACGATATTTTTCACAGTGGCCCGCCGCGGCGGGCTGCGCGCCACCGAGCTCACCTGTCCAGTCTGAGTCCATCCAGCGACTGCTCCACTGTGGAGTCGTCGGGGAGCCCCTCGGGAGAACCCGTCACGGTCATATCGAGTGGGAAATTTAGGGAGCGATCTGGAAATGTGGGGAATGTCAGGTAAAATGGAAATAAAAATCT